AGGAAAGCGAAGCTCTGACCGTGCAGGTAGGCGGGGATTTTCCTTGGCATTTTTCATCGCTCCTCTCACTTTAATGCCACGCATCAGACGCGGGACAATTAGTTCTTCTGGAGCTGTAGAAGACACAGAATAAACACAAAGCGCTTTAATACCGAGCCTGAGAATATGGAGAATCTCTGGGACGCGATTCCTGCTGGGGAAGGGGGGGGGGAAATATTTCTTGTTTTACCCGTGTGGTTGTGCAGATATTTCTGCAGTGCCTTTGGGGTAAGGTGAGAAATCCTCCGATTTAAGGGCTCTCAGACCTAGGAACGGGGATGGCCTGGGTAGGTGGGGGTTGTTTGCCCCCAAAAACGCGAAATGAGGCCCCTCCCCGTGCGTTCACCTGGCTCGGGGTGTCTCTCCTTCAGAAATTGGTGCCACTATCCCCAATTTCCCCCTTTTTTTGCCCCCCCCGTCCTCTGTCTTTAACCTCTCCCCTCCCCCGAGGGTTTTTTTGTTCAGTAAGCGGTGTATAAACCTCGCCGGTGCTCTGAAGGGGGAACAAAACCACCCCCAGAGCGGTTCTTCCTCCCCCAAGAACCCAGTTCAGGTTCCCCAGCCCGCCAGAGCCGAGCTGAGCATCTTTATTAATTCCAACCCCTTTTGGGGGGGCATCGCCCCGGGGCAGGGCAGGAAGGGACCCTCCTGGCCAGGCTGCTGCTGGAGGGTGACAAAAGGCGGAATTTCGCCCCTAAAACCCCCCTTTGGCTCCCAGGTTCGTTCAGCACTGAACGATTCGGGGGGTGGCTGGAGGGAAGAATCTGTTTGGGAGCGGCACAGGGAGGTTTGGGGAGCTGCAAGAGGCAACTGGACGCTGCAGTGCCGTTCTCAGGCCATTTCGAATGTCGTGCCTTTATTTATTTTTATTTTAGAGTGTTTTTTTTTTTCTTAACGTTTGCGCCTTTTACACCTTCCCTGCTCGCTGGGTGCAGCGTCGAGACAAAATTCAAACGCCCTCCCACCCAAAAACCCAACCGAGAAAGGCAGAGGCCGAGCTAAAAACCACCCCAAAACAAAGAAACCCCCACCAAAAACAAACTTCGCCAAGGTAACCTAGTTACAGATGCGCGTGATGTCTTATTTTATTCAACAAAAAGTGATTAAAATCTGTTAAAGGATTTAATTAAGAGAATTAAATGAAAAGGAAGGGGCACAAATGAGTTGGAAAAAAAAAAAAAAGCGGAGCTATTCTAAACGATTAAATCGCCATTTTAACAGTATAATGGGGTTTGCATACTGAAAAGAGAAATCAGAGCTCATATCTCATCAATAATTCATAGGCAAGAGGGATCATTGCGAGGTCAGCAGACTTGGACAGCCCCGGCTCCTCTCTCGGAGGAGAAGGGTGAGCAGCGGATCACAACACGACACGGACCCCGGGGCTGCCGGGTCACCTTTTTAAGGAAAACATCCAGGGTTTTGTTGGGGGTTTTTTTTGGTGTTGTTGTTT